CGACCACTTTTCGAGCTGCCGTTGTTTGCTTGCGTGACACTGCGTCTGCGACATCCGGCGATGGCTGCCGCACGCGCGCTGTGCCCTTCGCTGTCGGCGATTGGCCCGCCCACTGCGTCGGGGTGTACGTACAGCTGCTTGGGCTGCACGTTGTTGGTGCGGGTGTTGTTATTGCTTTTGTGACACAGCGCGATTGGTCCCCCGGAGTGACGGCGACCTGATGGAGCATTTCAATCTCAAGCTGAACACTGATCAGCTGCTCAACGCCGTTATGGCAGTACGTATGCGGCCTTGTGCCTCCTTGTGCCATTTGCATTCATTTGTATCACTCCTCTAACCCTTGCACCCTTCCATTTTGCTGAACATGTTGCTGAAGATGTAGGGATGCTCTCTCTCTCTCTTTGTCTCTCTCTCTCTCTCTCTTTGTCTCTCTCTCTCTCTTTGTCTCTCTCTCCCTCTCCCCCTCTCTCTCTCTTTCCTCATGCCTATCGAGGGGCCCCTTTCTTGCTGCTTTCTCACCTCTCTCGAAACCTTCCCCCCTGCCTCCACCTTCAGGAGGCTTATCTTCTTGCTCCTCCGTGTAGTGTCGCGCTCCTGCTTTTCCAGAACAGAGCCGAAAGACTGGCACCGAGCTTTTCTGAAGCGGCTGCCCTTGCCGAGGCCCCCCTCTGCGGCTTCGCTGCGAGAAGTGGCGCCTAACCTTAGAGAGCGCTTCTCTCCTCACTGTCGATGCCGCTGCTGTGTCTGCTGCTGCTTTAGGCGCGTCGTACCGAGGAGTACGTGAAGCTGGCGCTGGAGGGAGTGGCCAAGTTGCGCGCTCAGATACAGCGGCAGGGCGGTGTAGATTTTCTCACGCGCTTGGAGCTTGACTCGGGGACTCCCCACTGGAAGGGAGCTTCCACGGAGGGGCCTCACGCAGGGAAAAGGCCGAGCAGTCAGGCACACTTTGGCGCCGCCTCAACGGCTAAGAATGATGAATTAGAGACTGAGGCTTAGGGACTAGCATTTTGACCCTGTAGGGTGTCTGTACGTTGAGCTCGGTCTATAGTGTACGATTCTACAGGCCTGAACTGCGTATATTCGTAGCTGCTATGCCAACGGCTGGGGCTCAACAGGCGCTCTGCAGATGTTGACTTGACGGCCTCTCTCTCAGTCTCTTTCTATTGCACTGCGACTTTCTGTGGATCTCCGGTTCCTCACCAGAGCCGCGCTCTATCGGGAACGACACGCTTGCCTCTAAGCTGCGCTGCGTTCAAGTCGGAGCCTTGCAGAGGCAGAGGCCGTGCAAAACTTAGAGCAGACAGTGCCCGCTTGCTCGAACCCCTTCCCTTTCTTTCCTCTCTGGTGAGGCCTGATGAGCAGGAGGGCCACTAGTAGAAGATGCATGGACGCCTGCGGCTATTGAGCCGCTCGCCATGTGCATGCGGTAGGCTGCCGTAAGACGAGGCGTATTATTGCTGCTCTCCATAGGGGATGCGTGCACGGAGACACCCCAGCGCAGCGCCAGTGTGTGCAGGCGGACGCTCCAGGCTCGCTACCAGGGCAACTGCATAGGCTACGCTACCCCGATCCCCTAAAGCTGTATTCGAATCTGCAGATAACTGCAGAGCTCGATTGCACAGTGCCTCTAAGAGGCCTCCTGCAGCGCTGCGCGCGGCCTTCGCCTGCAGTGCTAGGGGACCTTACCCGAAACTCCGTAGTTTTCGGCTTTTTCAAAAGCCCCTTCACTACAGAAGCAGCAAGCCAGTCGCCATTGCTCCTATTAATGAAGATAAGGGGGTATTACAACGTCAGGTGGCGAGAGCTGGGGAATTCCTAAGCGCGCAAGAGAGTCATCGAGTGACGGAGCGTCCATCGTGCAACGCGTATCCACGAGCTGCTTGGCTTGCCTACCCCCAGAGGCGCTAAATTGATCAGAAACGCTAGGCCTCTGTGGAATTAGCAAGCAAATGCGTCCGCTGTACGCTGCAGAGAGTGCTTTTAGGTGTCTTTGTCTGCAAGAACGGCAAGCCACACTTCCGTGGCCGCTGGTCGATGCGCCTTGGGGAATTGCAGGGGCTGTACTTTGCAGCTTCTTAGACGACGGCACATGCCTTCCTGTACGAAACAGTATTTTACGTGTCTAAGCGAAAAATTACTGTTTTCAGTGTTTGGAAACACCATTGTACGCAAGCTTTGGGGAGCCGGATCCGTTTACCCTTTTCGCTGCCCGGTGGACTTCCCAGAGGAGGGGGCGTCCTTTCTGCCAGTAACCGCTTCTACAGGCATTAAGAGTCGATGCGTAGGGAAGTTTAGAAGTTTGTATTCTTCGCAGCAGCCAAAAAGTGTAGGAGGCCCCGGCAGTCGTGCCATAATGCAGCGCTTTCCCAGCGAGTCGCCTCGCTCAGCGCGCATGGCATACGGCCAAGTATAAAGTCAGCGCTTTGGGAGTTGCTCTTAGCCTACCTGCATTGACTCTAATGAAGCCACCATGCTTCTTGCATCAAGGAAAGACTTGGTTTTCTGCTCATGAAGCATGCCAGCACCAGCAGCAACAACGACGATGGCCGCATGCGTGATCCTGGTCGGCCTACTTTTTCTGGGGGCGCATGCGTTTGATACCCCGAAAATCAATCCGAACCTTGTCGTCATGTTCGGTAGGTCCTGCTGTTCGACCTCACGCATTCCTGGGGGTTGAAACATTCCCCCCATTCTGGCGTGAGCCTTAGCATCGATTCAGCGGCCTCATGATGGGCGATGTGTGTTCTTGCAACTGTGCATTGATATTTTTGAGGCAGTATCCGATCGCCGTTTCCTTGTGCCGCTTCCGCAGGCTTGAGGGAAGAGGCCCTTGAGGAGCTCGAGGCCTCTGGATCTCTTAAGGCACTGCCCCTAATTGGCTCTTCCCCCCACGTTCTGTACAACAAAAAAGAAGTGGGCATCGAGCTTCAAAAGGACAGCTACTGGAAATGCACCACCGGTCAGTCTGCTCTAGGCGGGTGCGCAGAGAAGCTGAGGAGGGTTTGGCATGGCGCGAGTGCTGAAGGCTTTGAGGGCGATAGTGGGCTACGGAAGTCGACGCTTTGCATGCGGAGGACCGGAGTGTGGGGCTTGGTGTTCAGGTCGTTGGTTTTTGCGGGTCGAACTGTCCGAATCCGGACCCGTGGAGGCATTGGATCCGTATCCGTTGGCTTCTTCTGTCGAGTATATTGACAAAGCCACAAACAAGGGCATGCCTCTTCCGTCCCTGCTCGCTTTGCAACCCCTGAATCCTCTCGCCTTCTCTCCCTACGCCCTCACGAAGGACGGAAATAGCCTCAAGGGCTGGAAGGGGACGCTGGCGTGCGTCGAGGAGGGGCAGCCGCTGCAGCTATTCGAGGGATGGCCTATGTTTATCACGAGTAAGGCTTCCTATCGGCTGCTGATCCTGACGGATGCTCCTTTTGGCAGCTGTCACGCATTGCTGCTTCCGCAGTAGTCGGGGCGGCTGTGGCTGCAGGCTCTGCAGGGAGGGCCTGTCATTTTTCATGCGCGCTTTGCGAGCTTCTCCCCGCAGAATATGACAAAGCGTCATGGCATCGTGAGGTGGCAGTACTCTCTGTGTTGGTCACGGAGCCGACGTGGGACCCCTCAGCCGAGCCGTCATTTTCCCGGTTCAAAGACAAGGAGGGCGTTCTGATCCATTTAACCCTGCAAGTTCGCCGTTCGGAGTCTCCCGTAGAGTCTCCTGAGGCTTCCCCTTTCGTTTCAAGGGACGCTGTTGAGGCCGAGGAGACTCCCCCCCTTTCCGAACGCCCTACGCGGGGGCCCTTGGGAGGCGAAGTGGTCACGCTGTTTAGTCTCATGCAAAACAAGTTCAGAGACAGCTATCTCTCGAAGAACCAGTGGATAGAGGAGCTGCGTGGACGACTAGAGACCGGAAGGGGCTGTGTGTTGCACAGCAGCAGGAGCTCTTTGGCGCAAGAGCAAATCGATGCAGCGGACACAGAGGCGCATTGGGATTACAGCACAGAAAGCTCCGAAGAGCAGGAAGATCTTTCTGAAGGCGCAGGATGGGGGGAGGTTGAGATGGAGGTTCCCCCTTGGGTCGCTGCACCGACAGGCAAGAAACAGGCTAATGCCACCAGAGAAGGATACGTCGTATGGCTTAAGTGCCCTCAGGCTCCGGCTATAGTCCAAGTCCCTTTTGGTTCGTAATCGCGTCCTGCTCCTCACCTGCAAGCAGTTTTCTTCCCGGCTCCCCATAGATTTTGGAACGTGTTTCCTCGCCTATGCCCCCTTGCTTCCTATCACGCCCTCCATGGGCTCTCCCCCCGCCGCTCTTCTTTCATAGCGTTCAGCGCAACGGCCACTCTTGGGCCTGTCGGGGTGTAGGACATGCATTAAGCAGCCCTTGCGTGCTTGTATACAGAGGCTGTGCTGCGGAGCTTGTCGCCTTCTCTGCGCCGTGTGGCATCCACGGTGTTAAGCCCCTATAAGCGATGGAAGGGCCCCTCCTTACTTTCCGCGATCTTCTTTCTCCTCTCTTCGATTTTCCTCTGGTCCAAGGAGGAAAGTCTTTCCAGGCTCGGGGTGCCCCTACACAGGATTCCGAATGGCCCCCTGGACGTTGTGGGGCAGTTGAGGTAAATTGCCAGCTAGGCGCAGCCAGCCAGCCAGAGGGCTAGATGCAAGCAAGCTCAAAATTACCCACCTGGCCACTTGCCGCCGCAGTGACTCAACGCGCATCTAGCTGCTCTAATTGGTTAGCTAGCTCGCTTTCAACTCTGCGTCTGATATCCTAGATGCGTAGCTATCCTTCTCAGTAGGAGACCCACAATGTGCACCCAGGCCGTTTGTGGATTGGATCCTTGTGTGGCCTTTTTTCTATCCCGTGAGGCAGATCAGTCTCTGCCGCATCCTTGTCACACCAACCTGACGTGGTGTCCTACGCATGTGAGGGCTCTGTGGCGTTTTTGCAGCTACGCGTCAGCGCTCGCAGGAAGTCGAGAGCCGTGGGTTAGCAGTGTTTTTGGAAGCTCTCCGGTGGGGGCCTTCTTCGCGCCGGATGGACGTTATTATCAGACACCTGTGGCTGCAACGTCTGTACCCCTGCGGCATCGCGCAAGGATTGTGGGAGGTAGTGTCGCATCTTCGTTGGGACTAGCAGCAGCAGTTATTGCGGGTATGGGCGTGTTAGCAACCACCCTCAAAGGCATTGGTCGCGTGGCCCTTAAGAAGAGCAAAGAAGTTGCCAGGGGTATTCTCCACAGGGCACCTTGGCGGAAAGGATACAGCCCACTCTTGGACAGATTGGCTCACGGCCTTTTGAAGGGGCAGGCGAAAGGCGGGGGAACGCGGCAGGTGCTTCTGATGGTGTTTGATTCTCTCGATCCCCCGACTGAACCTGAGGCCTTAACAGAGAGCTCTGCAGCCAGAACGGGCACAGATGGTGTAGTGCAATGGCTGCAGCAGCGGCTAGCTGCGCAGGTTGTCCTCTTGCCGATCAATGTGTTCAAGGAGCCTTTCGGAAGAAGGCATCAGATAGTCGTCAACACGCGTGCTCGGATGTCGGTGGGTGACTTTACGCGCGGTCTGCTACTCCCGCATTGCCGCAATCGCGTGGAAAAGCACCCTGAGCTCTTGCAGCTCTTCTCCCTTGCCCTAGCGGAGCCTATTCCTCAGGCTGCACCTCTGTCAGCCGCGTCGAATGCCGAAGACAACTACGCACTCGCCTTCAGTCCTGATGAGCCAACAGCCCGCGTCCGACTGCTTTCTCCTTCCCTCGCAATGAGCGAGGCCGTAAAGCTGCTCAATGTGTACAAAGGGGCCCACTTTATTGTGTCTGTAGGGGCCTCTTCGAGTGAAGGACTCCCTGGGGAAAATCCCAGCGGCCTCACGCTGCTCTCAGAGAATTCCAGCAACGCAAAAGTCTGGAGAGCTCTCACTAATCACTGCCTGGTCTTCAGAAAGAAGCCCATTGTCAGCATGGCTGCCGCGAGCATTTCGGTGAGTGTCTGTCTTGGGAAGAGGGAGAGTCTAGGGGGGTTACAGTTGCAGTTCGTGGCCCTTCCCCCTTCGCCGCGCAGCTCTCTCCTCCCGGCTTCCTGTACGCCTGCTACGAGAGTAGCTCTTCTTTCTTCGCAGTCTCAAAGGGACAGTAGTCTTGGGTTCCTCGTGGCATGAGGAGTGCATGTGTGTGTGTGGTGGCTGTTTGCAGATGCGGTTGAATTTGAGGCTGCCGCCGGTCCAAACGGAAAGCTGCGAGTGGCCAGGCTCCTCTCCTGGGGCCTTAGTAGTGCAGCACGTTCCCCCGGGAACGACTGTGAAACAGCTACTGGCTCAACTGCTGGAAGCCTTAAGGTCGCATGGCCTGCTGTCTCCATGTGCGGCACCACCATGCACCGAGCGCGCAGGGGTGGAAGAGAGCAGCGGTGCTGAAGCAGCAAGGGGGGCTGGAAGCGACGGCGAGCCAGATGCCACAGCAGCAAACGTGTCTCCCCCCATGGGCGGAGTCGCCTCCTCCGCATCTAGGGTAGTCGCAACAGCAGCAGCAACCCCCTTGCTGCCGGATGGCCTCACTGAGAGAGCTCTCGCACTGTATGTGGTAAAGGGCCATTCGGGAGGCGAGCGCCGTCCCTCAATTCGGGGGGAGCACTTCGGAGGTTCTTTGGACAGTAGGGTGACGAAATTATTTGCGAACACAGGGAAGGAAATCGACGCGAGGGAGAATGCGAAGGCAACGCAGCTCACGCGCGTCCCCTTCAGCAGCACCGTTAGAGACCTCCTTGACAACTACGGCTATGACGGAGTATCCTTTGGCTTTTTGGTGAGTCTGGAAGAAAAGCGCTCCGGCTCTTCTTGCCGTCTTCTCCATTAGAGAAAGGCCGTGTCCTGCAGTGGCACACAAGATTAGCTTCCCTTTCATCCCTGAGACTTTCTTGGTTACTGCCTTCTGGTGTGGTAATCAATTCGCGGAGAGGGGCATGCCCTTGTGAGCCGCACGCCGGCTTACCCCCTTGCCATTAAGCGTATTCTTAGCGTGGCCTTTTTTGCCTTTCTGCTTCTCTACATTTTTGATTACTGCCCCGTGGTTCTCTGCCTGTGTTGTGGCTGCGCTAGTCCTCCCAAGAGGGCGGGAGTCGCCATCAGCTGCTTGCGGCTCGCACGTAGCGGCCATCAGCACTTGTCCGTTTTTTGTTGGATTTTTTTACATGCGTGTCTGTCGTCAAGATGTTCTAGTTGTGGCTGTGCTGCTGCGTCTGTGCCTCTTCTGAGAGTGCTGCTCCGTGTCCTTGGGTACATGCTCGGGGTGTAGCAACAAAAACCTCGTGTCGCTGCTTCCGACTTGTGCGCTGCCGCAGTACTTGCCACACAGGGCAACTACGGAGGCAGACGAAGAAGAGCCTGAGTCTACCAGCAGCAGCAGCACTGGCGTGTTCATACACCCACTAGGCAAACATCTGGAGGTGCTGAGTGGAGCTACGTACAACTTTGCCACTGCCACCTTTAGCTTTGGGCCACACCAGTGTGCCTTGGAGCCTTCTCGCTCTCAGTTGTCTGCTCTACTCGCGACACAAGAGAACCAGTAAAAACAGCAGGAATAGCAGCAGCAGTTCTTTCCTGTTCAACACCTCAACCCTCTACACCCCTTGTTGCGGTGATGGGCTTATCCCCACGGATTTTGCGCTGGCCGGAGGCAGGCAGCCAGCCTAATTGGATGTATTCGAGCGTGAACGCAAAAACTACGTGCTTTAGACAACTCGTTACATTCACTGCTGTCAGTATTTGAGGAACGCCTGCAGAACTCCAAAGAGCCCCACCATACACATGCTGCAGTGTTCGTTCTTCTGGAGGCGCTTTTCTGTGCCTGCGTATCCACCTGGTGTATTTAATGTGGTAGTGCCTTTGGATGAAGCTGTGCTCCGCTCAAATGCCTACGGTCGAGAGATGCAATTCAAGTTGCAATCAGTCCTAGGTGAAGCTCGCCTAAGTATGAAACGAAGAAAGGAGAACTCTTGCTGCTCGCTGCTGCATGCATAATCCGTGCTTGTTACGCGGTGGGGCCTACTTGTTTCGCAAAGGCGAAACTCGCACCCCTTAAAGCTATCGCGTGATCCCGCATTCAAGGATTTTAACACAATCGTTAAGCGGAAGGCTTGTGTGCTAAGCCATCAGGTTTTCGTCGCCTGCATGGACGCAAGCAGTAGGTGCATGCACGCAGTGCAATGTAACCAAAACGCCTTGTGCTGAACTCGGTCGTGTTGCGGATGCATGCACCAAACAAAGACTTCAGTCTCTTCCTTCCGCTTCACAAGCACCGCAAGATACATGGCACTGTGATACTGCACATCCCGCTTCACGCTTCCTGCAGCTCCTCACCACGCTGCTTCTGCTGCTAGTCTCGAAGCCGCTTAACCATCGCGCGAGTCACCAAAAGTCTCCATGTCCTCGGGGGCCCCCCCGTCACCTTGGGCCCCTCCGTCTCTACCTTCCTTTCGCACTCCAGACAGCACGTCATCAATACGCAGCAACACAGCAGCCTGCGCATAGCAGCAAAATTTTTGCACCTAGATCAGATTTGTCCAACACCGTCCCTTCCCACAGGGCTGCCGCAGTGCACACGCAGCGACGTCTTTTTTTCATGCTCAACGCACATACACCCACATCGACATCCACACTCGAACAACGTTCGCTGTCCGTCTCATACTTACAGCCTCGATGGCAGCCTTGTATATCTGCTGCTTCACCGACAGGCAATCCCACACCATCTTTTCCTGCATGTTGCACAGCTCCCCCGTCTCTCCATCGACACCCATGCACGAGGCCTTGGAGTCTTCCAGCCGACTGTGTTTGGCTCGTAAATCCGTCATTACCCGCACTAAGGCAACACGCATACATATATATGCATGTATACATATACACATATATGTATGCATCAAATGTACGATCGAGGAAGACACACCTATACTAGGGTGCTGTATGCCGCTTAGCCTGTAAAGGAGAAGAGCCACTGCCAACAGCTCATGCATCCATGTAGCAGACCAAGCACCGCGCGTAGCAGTAAGGGAAAAGAGCATGCGCATGCATACCAACGTTTGCACCGCAGTTTTGCGCCAGAGTGCGCGGAATGACTTCCAGAGCAGCCGCCACGGCTCTATACGAGTACTGGTAAAGAGAATCAATGCCTGAAGAGGAAGCAACGGTCCATTTACGTAGAGTAATGGGATGATGGCGACATTTGAAAAAACACATTCTAGTTCTGTAACAGAGTAACTAGCAGGTGAGGCGGATAGGCGGAAGGAGAAGAAGCCGATGATCTTTTCACAGCGCGAATGACACCTCTTGGAAAATTCCCTGTGTCTCGCCACATCCGTCCCTTCTCCCCCCCTTCTTTTCGTGTCTGTCGATCTGTCTGTCTTTACACGTGAGTGCCATGTTCTTCCCTCTCACTCTTTGCTTTGTTGAGAAGGCGTGCGGCTACAGCCATCTCGGCTGCACCTCCTCCTGGAAGGAGCTTTCCTTCGAGGAGGATGTTTCTAGCGACGTGCAAGGCGTCCTGCAGATTGCTGCGGGGTCAGCGCATGCAGAGACATTGACTCCGAGTTGGAAAATACAACATGTACGGCACAGACGCCACGCGGTGAAGGAGACAAACAGCGCACACAGGGCACGCCGCAGAAGATGAGCGGAGCAGCTGTGATGAGTGGCCAAGGAACAGGCAGGAAGAACATGCACGAAGAGGTGTGTGTGGAACAGAAGTGATTAAAAAAACCTCATGCACAGAGAAAGTGCCAAGGCGGGGCGAGAGGCTTTCACAAAACAAGGAAAAAAGGGCAATTGGAAAACTAGAGCCAGATGCTGAGTGCGAGAAACACACGCGTCAACTATCTAGAGGCGTTTGTATTCTACACGTTTGTGGAACCTCACCGCTCAACCTCATTGAGAACATCCTTGCTGCCACCCCGAAGCACGATGGTGCATGCAGAGCCTTCTTCGCATTCTAGCAAGAAGGTAAAGTACTCGTCTCCTGAAGAAGCGAGCAAGAACCCCCACCCCGCCCCCCCACAAATATCGCCACAATTACACCCCGTTAACGTAGCAAAAAGGCCGTAAAGGCATCCATGCGCATGCACGCTCGAGTATACCGTGTGCGAAGTGTGGAGGTATGACGCTGCCTCCTTTAAACGGCATAATTCAAGCCACCCCGCTGTACAATGATGTACGACGTGTCTATCCAGATAGACAGAGCTGGGCAGCAGTTTCCTGCCAGCCCTTGCGAAAAAAAGCAGCACGACACACGCGTCCCCCTTCGCGCGTGCAGGGAAAGCGGCAGGCAAACCTCGCAGCTGCGGGTGAAAACAGGCAGGCGCTCACCAATTTTCTTGACTTGGAAGAGGCCACATTTAGTTCCCAAGTCCGATTCGAGAATTTCGTCTGTGCGTGACACAATGGTGGCACCGGTGGCTCTGCTGATTCTGTTGTTGTCTGTCTTGCGAACTCTCCGGATAACGCTGATCCCTGCCTTGACGAGGAAGTGTTGCGCTAAGTCTGAGACGCCTTTTTCAGTGATAACGACCGTAGCACCACTCTCAATGATGCCTTGACACATCGCATGAACCTCCTGCTCCTCCTGCTCCAGCAAACGTCGCCATTCGTCTTCTTTGGTCACCTCGACACTTGCCTGGCTCTCCCCCTTCTTGTATTCAAGAGGGCAGTCTAGAAGTAAAACCTGCGAAGCACACACGCACAGCGCCAGCGATTCCGCAGTGGCAACAGAGAGAGAGAAAGAGAGAAAGACGCAGCGTTAAAGCGTGGACCAAAGGAAAGAGGCAGGAGGCCCCATGCAGAAAAGAAAATACTTGGCGATGAATGAAACGCCGTGGAAGACGAAGAAGAGGAAGAGGCAGATGGTCAGGGAGAGAGTTGCGTTGTGCGCATGAGCCAGAACATGGGTGCACTAGCATCATCTGAACTTGCCTTTGGATTCTTTATCAGTCGCTTCATCTTAGGATGGGTAACGTCCTTGTTTATCATCAGGCCATTCAACATGCAGCTCTCTTCAATACTCCCACCCGGAACCTTTTCTACCTTGCAGTATCTCCTGATGGACACGAGGTGTGCATACACGGCAAATTACCGTTGAGAGCGAGCAAGAGCGAAGGGCACTATGAGAGTATTATTTAGACGCGGATACGCATACATACATACATATATACATGCATACATATATATACATACGTGCATGCACACACATGCACACAAGTACACACACAGAAAAAGACAGACAGAAAGAGAGCGCAAGAAGAAGGCAGACAGAGAGAGAGGACGACAGAAAGAAAACAGAGGGACTGGCCTCCTTCCTCCTCCTTGAATACTTTTGCTGCTCTCCCGTGCGGCTACCTCTCTCTCTCGACCCCGCATATTTCATACATCCCCCTTGGCATATACGTTAACGCATGCACACCCTCATGGGTGGGCTAGAAAGGAGAAGTGAGGGTAAGCCTGACTTGATATCAATTTCCGTTTTGCCTGATGGCAACTGTCTTGCGATCTTGCGAACGGCTTTAAGGGCCATGGAACTGAGAAGGCCTTGCCACCGTGATGCGAATTTCGTGTTCAAGCACGCATCCAGTGTCTCTACGACTTTGCTGTCGTCCGAGGTGTCTATACACCTCGACAGTTCATCAAGGAACCCCAAGGCATCCTCTAGAGCCCGCATGAATCCGCGAGAAATGACAGCGGGATGCAGCTGCTGCTTCTCTAAGAGATCCACCGAGCAAGACAGAAGCTCTCCTGAGAGGACAACTACAGATGTGCTTCCATCCCCGGCCTCCTCATCCTGTGATCGAGACAGCTCGATCATCGTCTTGGCAGCAGGATGAGCGACATCCACCTGAGTACATGAAAAAATTTCCCCCAGGCCCACACCCAGACACCGCGCGAAGAGTATTAGCAGCAATTCGGACTGGAGTGCAAGAGTCGCGCAGCAGCGGCCTAACGAAGGTGGAAAACGTGCGACGAGAGAGCTTCGACAAAAACCAGGTGCGCGATAACCACGTTTGTCACGCCAGCAGATTTCTGCGTAGCCTACTTCGCGCAAAATGGAGTTTCCATCATTGGTAAGAACAATGCCGCCCATAGGATCCAGAAGCATCTTCAACATCGACGATGGCCCCAGTGTAGTCCTAACGATATCTGCAATCGCCTTGCTAGCCTGATCGACCCACGCACACGCTTCGAATTAGATCCCGCCGTTCTGAAGCCTGCCACTTTGGCCTCTCTCTATGGCAGAGGAAAGCAAGATCTGAACCCTCGTGTCTACTCGCTCGCTGCAGAGGGTGAAAAGGGGAGACACATCCCTTTCCCCGCAGGCAGCATTCCTGGAGAACCAGACCAGCTCATGCGATCGGCAGGTGCCGGAATACACTTGGACGCATGAGCATGCATACACCTGGACGTGCAGATACATACATATATATATACGCCTACCAAACACGCATGGAGAAAGGCATGCGCACCTGGATGTTGGCTAGCTGCGCCTTGCGCCCAGTTTCGCGTTTGGTATTCTGCTTGAGGACGAGAACGGGACCCCTTGGCCGTATCATTGTGTTTGCAGGCTTCCAAGGCACGGGGTGACAGCGTCCAGAGATGCAACAATGGAACAGACTCCTGTATCTGGTGGAGTTAAGGGGCCAGAAAGGCAGCACAGAAAAGCTGCCGAGAGGGCCCGGGTTTCAACGTGATTTGAATTCAAAAGACAGTCCACAACTGGGTGTCGGCCTCGCGGTCCCTCGAGCAGAGAAGCAGACGGAATTCGCTAAATATAGAAAAGAAGACGATTGGAGACAGCGGCCGCGTCAAGAGAATAAATAGTGCCGCTGGGGTGTGTTGGCAGAGAGTTCGCGAGGCGCGTATGGGTTGTTCCGTTGCTGCGCGGGCTGCTGCTGCTGCTGCTGCTGCCAAAGACACGAGACGCCTTCTTGCTGCAATTCAGGGACAATTAGCCACCGTTTTCTCCTCCTCTGTGAGTTCCTTCTTTCGCACCAAAGAGGAGCCTCCCCACGCCTCGCCTCCACACACAGCCCCGAACCCCCCCCCCCGGGCCCAAGCGCATGCTGCATTCTCCTCCTCTGCATAGCGCCATCCAAATCCGTAATTTTTGTCTTCTCCAAGCATGCATTCCTGACTTGAACAGGACTCCTAAAACGCACGGAGAGGGCTGGCAAGGGGTCGAATGCGCAAAGGGTAGAGTCGCACATGTTGCTTTCTGGGAAGCGTGCTGTGCTCGACTGCGCGTCTAATGCCCCTTACACACGTGCGGGATGCCTAATGGTAAGTGCGCGATCGTGTGGTTAGGTTTGCAGTGCGGGTTCTACAACCAATAGCGGGCTCGCTTGGAAGTGTTGTCCGTGTATGCAAAACCGTCGTACCGCCTGCCTTCACCTCTCAAGGATCCCTGCAACTTGGATACACAGCTGTATAAGGGGTGACAATCCGCATCTCTTTAAAAGAATACGCTTTCTTTTACCGCTGTCTTGAGACCCTGTTGTCGTGGGCACTAATGCAGGGGTGTGTGAAACGTTGCGTCTTGTGTATGCATAGACCCCAGCTTCCCACAGTAACTCTAGACTGAACCTGCTACATCGAAATAGGAGTCGGTTATGAGCCTACTCCCTGGTTAGGCTGTTCATACAAGCTATTTGTTGCCAATTAAGAGTAATTAGCACCCTAAACCACAAGGCCACAAGCGCCCTACTCGTCGACTTAGCTGCGATGTGCACCTGGGAGTGAATGTTTGGGCGCAGTGTAGCGTACCCTAAGAGTCTTTTCTCCTGTCGTGATAAAATTCCAGGAGGATGCTAATAAAAGGTGAAGCAGCTATTCGCGGCGGGCGGCTCGCGATTCTCCACTGAGTATTGTCGTGGCCTTTCACCGAGAGTGTCCTCCATGTTATCCTAGGAAAGTAATATGCTTTCAGCGAACTCTCAGCACGCATACAGACTACTGCTTGCCTAGAGTACAGCTGCACATCCCTGAAACTAAGTATGAAGAGCCGGCTGTGCCCTCTAAGTAGCGCAGTTTGTCAAAACCCGAACTGTATACTCTCCTACAGTCATTTCACATTGAATCCTCAAGGAACGCAGATCAAGTGGATCACATTGGACTAAAAGTAGTCAGCCATATACACCCAGCTCCAAAGTCATCTCGAGCGAAGCTGCCCCAGGCACAGATAGTGCTTGGCTAGCAATCGACCAGGGCACACCTAGTGTTTAGATAGCAACTTAGGAGTAGTGCTCTCTACTACTGCGAATGCCGAGGACACATTGGTCAGCTTTCTCACTAAAATACGGAAGATTCGAAAAATGCCAGGGCAAGTGCTGGATACAAAGTGACGCCTTCCGAGAGCCCCCGGCCGGCCCTCGTACCGCCATGGAGAAAATGACGCTTTCTAACCGAGTCCTCAGGTAGGCGAACCGGAACCAACATCCTTCACAACAACTAGCTATAATGTGCGTGTTGGGCAAGATGTACGATTGGTTTCCCGTCAAGCCTACAGTCATCCTAAAGTCCCCAGTGCCTTGCAGCTCCCCCATGGATATCCTACACCATTCCTTGAGAGTTGCTCCACTCTTCTCTAATCCAGGCGGTGCGCATACTTGTTACGGTTCAATGGAAGAGCTGTCTAGGGCAAGGCCCCTAGCGAGCACTCTCGCTCAAAAGAGCTAATGAAATGCTCCATCCAGGGTCTCTCCAGAGCACTCAACTCCCGACTCAATAAAGTACATAGAAATTTATTGAAGCTCTCTTTTGAATAGCTTCCTCCCTCACCTGCCTGCTTTTCTGCGGTTCCCCTTACGACGCGCAGCTAAGGTGCGCGTAGCTGCACCCTCAACGCACACTGAGCATTTTCAGCTAGCTTCACAAACCATCTTGCGCGCACGCATACAATAGTGCGGCTTCTTATATGGAGCAGAGCACACTCTTCAGGGAATAAGATACATGAAGAAAACAGCCAAGTATTCGAATCTCTACATTACTAGCCACATTGAACTTAGCTGAACCCAAAGCTGTCTATCCTACCCAGCCAAACGCCTGTTGCAGACAAGCACGCTTCGCGCCTTCTGTGCACTTGAGTGGCTCACTAGGCGCCACTCTGTACGACAGCATACCGTAGCTAGCTATAGCAAACCACAATTTCGCCTGTCAAGGGGAGGAATCCCTCCCATGATGCAACTCTTCCAGGTGCGAAAATACCATCGAAAGAGGCGCACATCGAAGGCATAGAGCCCCACCCGACACTGCAGGCTGTATGTGTATTTCACCTTGCTAAGGGATTTGAAGAAGTGGTGCCAACGGCTTCACGTGAGCTAGATGTTTCTAAGTTCCTGTGCAAGTAAACAATTTTTAATGGCACTGCTGCCGCCTTGCTCGAGTGATTGGCTCCTGGCGTCTCTACAAGGTTGCAGAGGTGCACTAATCCATCCCACCACAGCACGGTTTGTCTCCCAAGTATTCACTGCTCCAGCAGCCTATTCGAAGTCGGTGACCCCTTGAATTTAGTACTGTAGGCCCTAATGTTGGGTCTTGCCACCTGCCCCGTGATGCAGCTCTGCATGTTGAAGATTTCAACGGGGTGTACTACCGACATTTAGCACCCGCAAGCAAAACTTATTCGAGTTCCTCAAAACACTTTAGCTAAGTCAGCAAAACGTATGCCTTGACTGTCTGATACTGCTGGAAATAAGGGAGGCAGCGCTCTGTCCTCCACGCTGCAAACTGCATTTTCTGCTGCTGATGATTCTTCGGCTGCAGTGTCAGTGTTGGTGTATACGTTACAGCCCACACTCAGGTCCGATGTGTATTTCTGCGCCTTGCTCCTCTTTTCTTTTGATGAAGCGCGGAAACGATTTTCGAGAAGTACCGTATGCACTTGTCAGTGAATAGTTTGTTGCCGCGGGCTGCTCTCTGCATTGCCTTGAGTCGATGCAGCTCTTCACTGGCCTCCTCTAGTGCTGCAGGCGGACCTGTTCGCTGGAGCAACAGCAGCTGATTCTCAGTAGCTGCTATGCCCCCTTTGAGCACATGATCTGCCTGAGACAGCTGCACGTGGTGCTGCTTGCAGGCGTCATGAAATAAACGACTGGTCAAGACTTCGCGCTCTAATGCATCAGTAACCTCCCCAAATCTGAGGACTCGAACACACTTATAAACCGTGGCATCCACTCCTCCGACGGCCCCAAAGAGAGAGAGCACAAAGGCTCCTCGTCCGAATGCGCGCAAGGTAAATACGCGTTGATCGCAAATAATGCCGATTTGCCCGTCGGGGCTCATGGCCTGCAGCAAACAAAGCACCGAATGAGTCGGTCAGTCCACGCGACATGTACATACACTCGGTGCGGGCGCACGCACGAGTTGGCGCTCATGGAAGAGCAGCAAGAATCCCATGAGCAGAAATATAAATATACATATTTATAGCGAACCTGAGCGCTAAAGACGCGATCCGCGCGGGGTTCTTCAAAGTCCAGCTTGGGTGCAGCGCAAGAGGGGCCCTCCAGGGGAGGATGACAGGGCCCCTCCTTGGGGGCCCACGCACTGCCTTGGAGCCATAAAGGGAGGGCGGACGAAGAAGATACAGCCGAGCGCAGAATGGAGACGGATGTTACTGCTGAAAAAGACACAAACGGGCATATTGGAGGGGCCTTGGCCTTCAATTCTCAGCGAGAGGGAGAGACAATTCGTGAAGCATGAAACTAGGACGTACAATAGAGGGACACAGCGGATTATCGCAATAGGCAGAGCCAGACAGAAAAAAACATGCAAAGTTGAGCGCGCGGTGACAAGCCTAGAGACAAGGCCAAAGAGGATATCCGGAAGTCGCGAGCGTCCCTGCCAGCCATCCAGAAAGCATCAAGGAAGCTGAAAGATCAGCAAGGATGAAAAGGGGCACTTGATTCACCGTTGGGCAGTGCCGCGTAGGGAATCTCCCCTATATCTGTTCTCCAAAAGAAGGCAGGACCCCAAGGATTTCCCGACAACTCCACACCAAAGTGAAATAGGAGATGGGCGTTGCTGTACTGCCCATAGTTTACGAATAGCTGAGAGGCAGGAACGCGAAAAGAGGCAGGCCACAAGCTTGCGCATGCTGCTATACAGGCCCTAGAGGCACCCAGTGCATCGCATGCAAAATACAGGGCCAAGGTGTCTGGTCACTCAGGCAAATAGTGTGAAATTAAAGACTTTCCATATGGTAGCCGTTAGTTAGCGTATACGCGGAGACGCCGCAAAACGCTTTCACGCGGAAGAAATATCATTGACAGGAGTGTGCAAGAGCAAGGAAAGGTCTCTTTTAAGAGCATTCTTGGTACTTCATGGCTTGGAGTTCACATAAACTCTAGTATGGCCCACGTTTTCGCCGCGTCGTATATCCCGAGGAGCCCTCCAAACGAGGCCTTCTGCAGAGGTTTCGTGCTGGATTGCCCAGTCTGAATTCCTGAAGCAACAAGCATGCAGCAGCACTAGGCGGCAGAGTATGCCCATGAGAAGAAAGATCCTCTCCATCACTGATGTCTGCTGCAGGGGCGTGCGATGCTTGCCGAGCGCTACTCAGCTTAAAGAAACACCACCAACACCATATATCAAATGTCAAGAGCAGTAACAAGAGAAAGAGCAGCAGCAGCAGCAGGTCCAAAAAGATTGCTTGGCTGCCTGACCAGTGGTATGCTTGAAGCTCATCAAGAGCTGAGACAGCGACATGTCCTTCACCATCCCACACACTCCGAGCGTGCACCAGGGAGACAGCCATCTTGATGTCGTCCTGTGTTGCGTCTGATAGCTCAGCGGCTAGGGAGCCTCGGACTAAATGCAGCAGTTGTTGCTGCAGATGTTGCTGCTGCTCAGCCTGGTGTGGCAGCACTAGAGACAAGGCCTTCCACAAGAACGGCCCGAAGTAAGGCGCATTCCGCTTGTTCGTGTGTAGCAGGCAGCCTGAGGCTGCTGCTGCTGCTGCTGTCGGCTCTTGCATCCGCAGATGCCTCAGCAACAGCAACTCCTTCACCAAGAGGACTGCCAGCAGTTCCTCAGAGCTGCACGGCGTGAGCTGTTTCTGCTGCTTTTGCCTAGGTCTGCTGCTCTCTAGCAGACAGTTGTCTCTAATGAAGGCTGGAGCGTCTGCAGTTGACAGTAGCAGAGCTCTGGGTAGCCGCAGCAAGGGGGCCCCTCGGGGTGTATCCTCCGCTACGATCCCTGCGCCTCTTGTCGCTTGCTCCCCACATTGAGGACTTCTCTGTCTCCACACCTCCACAAGGTCCTCCGGAGGGGCCTCAACGTGGGCCCCCTCTTGTACCACGCCTATAATAAGGCCAGAAAGAGACTTCGAAGATGGCAGAAGCCACGCTCCGTCTGCTGCAAGCTGCTTTTGCAGCGGCACTCCAGGCAGGAGCTTCCGCTGGATCCCCTCAGAGGGTCTTTCCTGCGAAGAGACTCCCTCCCCCTCTATGGAAGTCTTGTATGCTGTTCCTGCAGCAGCAGCAGCACCATAAGCCCCTTTGCCTCTGACAGCATCAGTAGTCGCAGCAGCAGCATCTGCAGCGGATGCATCATTCGCGGCAGGTCCCAAGATGATCTGCTGCTGAAGAGGTGGTCGTGGTGGTTGCTGCGCAGTGTAATCCAGCTCCAGCGTGTTTCCATTTGCGTGTAGCTGCTGCCCTTGCGGCCACTCTGCCTGTGAGCAGTAGCGACTAGAAAAAAAAAGCCTCGTGAGGGCGTCTTTGTGCTGCAGGAAGACGACAGCGGAAGTAGCGGCAGCAGCAGCCACCAACACGAGCACCAGCAGCATGATCGCCCACCTCCGTTTAACAAAAGAGGAGGAGGCCAATGCCTCCGCATGGGAAGCAAAAGCAATGGGGCCCCCCGGATACGTCAAAGCCACATGCTCGACAGGATCATGCGTATTTGGGAATGCAAAGCAGGGGGGGGGCCTACAACAAGGAGGAGGGTGGTCTCTTGACGAGCCACTCGCCATGTTCCCACCATTTGCTGGAGTCGCCAGGCTGCTCCGCGTTCTTCGCGAGATCCCCGCTGTTGCAGCAGCAGCTGCTGCTGCGAAGGCGGCCGTATCCTCCGCAGCAGCGGCTTCGCTGCTTTGCTTGCAGAGAGTCAGTGCCCCCGATCGCCGACGCATGACAGTAGCAGAGCCAGCCGGCTTGCTAGAACTAGGGTGTTGCTGCGCTTGGGGAAGCTCCTGCAGGAGTTCGTCTGAAGACCCTCCCTTGCTGCAACGCGTCGAATTGCCCCTGCTGAGAAGTGGGGCCGTGAATCCCCCCTTTGCCATTTTCGGTGTCTTTACACCCTGACTGACCTCGTTTGAACGCGCGCACCGTAGCAGGTTCAAACGAGTCCCCGTGGCTGCAGCCGCTTGCTCGCAGCAACTGGGGAGATGCATTTCTCCTCGATGCATGCGCTGCAGCTGGCTGCGCTGCAGCCGCGGCCGTTCAACTCGGCCTTCGCCCTAGGAGACCACTGGTGGGAACGGCGCAGCGTGTGACGCCGCCCTGCACAAAGCTCTCGAGATCTATTCGACGTCCTTCACCTTTGAACGCCTTGCTATTTTCCAAGCCCAACAAAATATTTGTGTCGGAAATTGCCCGAAATAAGGCCAGCGCAGAGGTTGTGTGGGCCCCTATGCACCGACGCCGATTTGAACGGGCTGCCTGTAGGAGGCTGCAACGCACGCGGCCGCACACTAAGTGCGCTTTTGAAAAGAATTAAGTGGAAGGACACGCAAAAATCGTATATCTGCGATGCATAAGCAGTGAAAAACCTTTCGCCACTCGCGCTAGTGCTCCTGCCCTGCTGCCTCTCCCGCCGGCGCGGCTGCTGCCGAGGCGAGAGAGGGTCTTTTAAGACCCCGTGGCTACGTCATGTCTGCAGCCCTCTCTTTGATATTGTTGGCTCAAATTGCGCGAAAACTATCTAATCGTCAAGCACTATACAAGGAAGGCTGATCGGCATAATCACGACTCCTGAGGCCTGCTGAGAACACATCTGGGGTGTATCCCAACAGCGAATGCAGTACTGGGCGTCTAATGATGCCCCCATGTGCACTTTTTTTTCCACCTCTGCAACTCAATAAACCCGTCGAATCGGTTTCGCTTTTCGCTCTATCTCTGACACCAGCACCTATAAGCAAGCGGTTTGACTGTTCTTTCGGCGCTCCTAGATACGACGGATTCGCGTCTTGAATACGCGCGTTGAGGCACCGATAAGTAAACAATTAACATACGCAACACAACACCTGACGCTACACAGTGCGCTGCAAGAATCGGCTGTGACATTCCAGGCTCTGCAAGCAACATTGCACATTCACGTACATCCGCCACCACTCTGCAGGGTCAGACTAGCAGGGAAAGCTGAATGCGTTGCACCCGGGTGGTTCGTTACAGAGCTGCCACCCTGTGCCAGGTATACATCCCGTTCATGATACTGTTCAGGAAGCGAAGCTAGGCCACGGAGTGCGCATCCTGCCCCCCATTTTCCCCCAAAGAACTTTTTAAGGTCCTGTCTTGTCGACACGGCTCGATTCCGGGGGCGACCCCTCTTCTTCTTCGGCCGTCGGCAGCTAAAGACCTGTACTGCAAGATGTCTTGCTTGGGGAGCAGCACCGCGCCTCCTGAAGCAAAAGGAAAAGAGGTTAAAGACGTCAAAGAAAAGTACACATCACGTACAGGAAACGCGGCGTGAGCGTAAGAGCAAACAGATACATCTTTTCAACTCTCGCATTAAAAGAACTTATCCACCAATTTCGGTACACTTCAGCACTGCTTGCAAGGCGCTACCTTTTTTGCGCACCCGGGAGCAGCTCGCTAGCAACTACCTGACTAGCCCATTGGCTAGATGCCGATTCGGTTACTAAAAGGCAGACGAACGACCACGAGATCAAAACGCAGTAGAGTGTACTGAATTAGAATTAGCAGCTGACAGGGCAGAGAGCACTGATACCAGCTAGCTAGCCGTTGATTTCGTTTGGGAGAACGCTTCGGGGTCTTGACACTCCTCCAGTGGGGAGTCATCAAGCTCCATCACTTCCTTCTGCTGTTGCTGCTGTCGTTCGTCGATGGCATGTTCCTGCTGCTGATCATTGCTGTTGGATACAGATTCAGGTGCCTGTTCAGTCGTTTTGCACGGCCTGCCCTTCTGGGCCCTGCGTTTATTGGGGGGGGGGGCCCCTTGGATCCCCCCCGTAGCACTGGGTGTCGAAGATGATTTACCCTGTCTCCGTCTGCTCGCCAACTTTTCTGTTGCCTTGGTCAAGGCTTCCTGCAGCTCTTCTTCATCGAGTTCCCCGTTTTCGTACTTCGCCACAAGGCGCATATATCCAGAATCTGTCAGGCCATCTGTGTAGTTCGGACGAGGAATCTTCCGACGCTTCCTTGACTTTGCTAGCCAGTTCGTCTCCCCTCCTTCCGAATCACCTGCTGCTGTCTCTGCCTCAGCAGCGGCAGCGGCTTCTGCTGCTGCTGCTGCTTCTGCTGCAGCGGCCGCCGCTAGCACCCAGTCTGGCAGCTCGCTTGCCTTAATGATTCGACTGCGCTCCTCTAAGAAGTTCTTGACCTCTTCTTCTCCTGCCGCTGTCATGGGTGGTGTCGTAGGCTGCTGCTGCTCCTGCTGCTGCTGCTGCTCTCGCTGCTGCTCTTGCTGCTGCTGCTGCTCTTGGGGAGTTTCAGGAGTCTCCTCTTCCTCCTCTTCTTCGGGGGGCTCATAGAGGGCCTGCTGCTCAACAAACGGCTGGCTTCGGTCCGCCTGGAGGCACAGACCTTCATCATCCACCCCGAACAGCTTCTTGTCGTACTCGTTAAACCATTCAAACTCCTCCTCTGACCGACTCAAAATCCGATTAAGCTGCGTATACACCCCACAAGAAACGGAAAACCGTCAACCCCAAATCAAACGGAGCCAAGCACACACACACATATATCTATATCTACATACATACATGTATATATATATATATATGTATCCAGAGATATAAGAAGCATCGTTTGATCATTGAAAGGACTCAAATCGATGCCACTAACGGCATGTAGGATCTCCGAAAGATGACAACGTAGCCGAGTCGAAAGCCTCAGCTCGCCCGGATACATGTATGTATGCATATGTATGTATGCATATGTAAATATGTATGCATATGCATGTATATGTATGTATGTATACGCATTTAGGTAGGTATGGCGTACAACACGGACCTGCAGAGGCGTTGTGGCTTTTGCGTCGGTCCCTGTGCTTTTTCCGAGGAGAAGAAGGAGACGCAGCTTCTCTTCTCTGGTGTCTTCACTGGACTTGTTGTCGAACATCCCTGCTTGAATGACCTGAAGTGTATGCGCATGCCACAGAGATGTCTCGCGGCACTGACTCCTGTTGTTAGCAAACATTTACAGCTGTACATGCCGCTTCGTCTACGGCCTCTCTACCTGTAGTGCCTTAAATCCCCCTTCCGCCCCCTCCTCATTTTATAAGGCGAATTCAACTCCCTTCTCCGCAGCCTTAAGCCTTCCCGTCAAGCCATTGAAATCTCAAGTTCGCTAATACTAATCAGCGTGCCTTCTGGTCAATCGACAGCTTCTTGTTCGCCCTCTGCAAAATGACTTCCTCCACGCCGCTAATCGTCACGAGGCGGAAGACCCTACGAGCGAAGCAGAGGCCACACAGACAAGGCGGCTCGCAGAGTTCAAGAGGATGCGGCAGGCAGGCCTGACTAAGACGCTATCACAAAGACATCGAAAAAGGCGATGAAACAATGGGGTCACATGAGAAGGCGCAACCGGTTCAGGGAAGAGCGGCCTTGAAAAAATCAGGCTAACATGCTCCTCATGAAAACGGAGGCGAGAGGAAAAGCCATCAGCGGCCTAACAAACAACAACACGAGGCACGCTGCATGCCGAGGCAGAACACAACAACACGAAGAGCCAAGACAACAAACACAAAAATAAGTTCATTTCACAGAAGCGCAAGCGCAAGACAAAGCAGCCGTAAGCTGAGAGTACTTCTGCAGCTGGGAAGAGACGCGTAAAGAAAGAACACAGAAGAAAAATACAGCAGCAGTTTTCCCACTTGACTTGTTTGGTTTGTCCAACTCTGTGCGCCCTGCACATTGCCTGTAGATCCTGATGCGGATTAAAATCGGAATCAAAAAGAATGACGGTGTCTGCTGCTTGGAGATTAAGTCCTAGGCCTCCAGCCCTAAGAAATAACCGCATACGTTTTTTACGTATATATACCGATATATACTGGAACCGTCCACACGCACCCTCCTTCCCCCTAAGCTGAATTTAGAGCTATTGATCGGTGTAAAGGGTGTATACATTAGGATCGGAAGCATCTCTACAAGCATCAATCATGCTCTATCTCTATAAAGGTGTGTGCCTCTCCACCGCAGCGAATTCTGAAACGCCTCATTTGCATACACTGCCAGCTACGGGAACACTGCAATGGCTTCCACTTCTGCCAGTTCCTTCTGGCAGCGCTACTGTAACTGTGTCTGCCTATAGACACATACATAACATATATATGTATGTAGATGTACACATGTTATTCGCAATATACTCAAGAAGAACGTGCCTGGTAGAAAGCATAAAGACCATCGCGTCTTCATTCTTCTGGTTGAAGGAATCGATGCGCTCCTTCCTGCACAGAAACCGTTCAAAAGGCGCAGCAATACTTGCAATGAAGGCAGCGGCACACAGATGGTGGCAGCAGGCGCACACCCTGGTTAAAGAAGAAGAAACCGCTTGAAAAAGATCCACTGTAGCGACAGCGCCGAGTCAGACGTTTGCGGCTCACCGTTCTTGGAGTCCGACAGATCCGTCTAGCCGTTCATGTTTAATACCCCGCATGTCCAGATAGTCCGCCATGAGGTCCAAGACTTGCGTCATCTGCGAGAAGATGAGCGTTTTGTGTCGGAAGTGAATCAGCTTTGGTAGCATTCTGTCAAGGCATTCAAACTTTCCGGAGGCAGTCACGAGGGTCTCGTTCAAGCTGTACTCGTCCACGAACAAGTAGGGGTGATTGGCGATCTTCCGCAGCTGCATCAGCGTGTTGTGCAAGCTGCGCTTGCTGAAGAATTCTCGAGCTGAACTGCGGATATGGACACAAATATGCCCCACACACCGCGACGCACAAGCAGCTTGGGGGAAAACTCAAGGCAAAGAGAGCACGAAGCGCGAAATGAGTTTCGCGCTTCGTGCTAAGGCGGGGAAGCATCTCAATCTGCCGCCCAACTAGCAAGTTTCGGCACGACAATGAACGTAAGGTCCATAAGATTAAGCGTAAAAGGACAGACCTGAGCCCTTTGTCTTGCAAGTTTTTGTAGACAAGGCGTTGCCATTCGGTTAGAGGAATGTGAACAAGGTACTCCTTCTTTTCTGGCATATCCTTCAGTACGTCCTTCTTCACACGGCGCAGCAGAAAAGGCCTCAAAACTGCATGCAATCGGTTGATCACCAAGAGCTGCTCTTCCTCGTTCAAGAGAGACCCACCGGGGGCCCCCCCCTCGGGGCCCCCCTCGACGCTCATCCCGTGAACCTCGAATGGCTGACTGAACCACCTGTGCGGAACCAGGGGCACGCGCCGCGCGGAGGAAAAAAAATACCAATTAAGAAAACTTTACACAGGAAAATGCACACGAAGAAATGGCAAACAGTGCTGAGAAACAGTCTAAAAGAAAAAAAAAAAGAAAAACGTCTCATGATCCAGAAGAGCAAAGCGCCACACTTCTTCAACCCGCACGGCAGCAAGGCGCTTTTTGTCCTTCTCTCGATGCCCCTCCCCTCCCTCCGCCTCACTTTTCAAAGTCGTCTGCACATGAGAAGATTTTGGGAAGAAGAAAATTCAGGAGAGACCACAGCTCCGTGAGGTTGTTCTGGAGGGGCGTGCCCGTCAGCAGTAGACGGTGCGACGCGCAGAAGGATGACACAGAAAGATGGAACTTAGACTTGCTGTTTTTCATTCGATGTCCCTCATCGACCACCAAGTGCTGTCACGCAAA